GTCTTGTTGCTATTTGCATGACAATATCATCTTCCATCCTTTAACTTCTGTTTGATCTGTATCTTTGAACTTACAGTATGTCTCCTGTAGATGATATATTTTTAAAAATTCAATCTCACAGTCTCTTTTTTTTAATGGACTGTCAATCCATTTACATTTAACGTTATTTTTTTATATAGTTGGATTTATGTCTGCCATTTTACCTGTCTCATACTTTTTTGTTTATTTTTCTTTTAATGTTTACTTGTTAAGTGAATATTTTCTAATGTAATATTTTAGTTTCTTTAATGATTTTATCATTATTTTTCTTTAAGCCTTTTTGGTTTGAAAGACAGAGTGACATGAGAGCGATAGACAGAGGCAGAGATCTGCTATTTGCTGGTTCACCCTCCAAGTGCCCGCCACAGCAAGGGCTGGGCCAGTCTGAGGTCAGGAGCCAGAAACTCCCATGTGGGTGAAAGGGACTCAAGTACTTGAGCCAACATCTGCTGTCTCCCGGCTGCATTAGCAGGAAGCTAGATCAGAAGCAAAGGTGGGGATGTATCCAAGACACTCAGATATGGGATGCAGGCATCCCCACAACACCTGCCTTGTCGCTGTTTTAAGGTGTGGTGTGTGTCTGTGTGTGTGCGTGTGTGTGTGTATGGTTGCTTTAGAGTTTCCCATATACATCCTAATTTATCAGAATCAGTTTCATATTTATACTAGTTTCATTTCAGTGATATCTGGAATTTTTTATTTCTTCAACTAAAGTATGTTTTAAATAATACTTGATTACTATTTTATGGCAAAATATTTCTAAAACTAACATCTAGATTACTTCAAAGATGTTAAGCTGGAAACAAGTTTTTGATAAACCTGAATATAAAAATCAGTTAAATTTCTTAAATGAGTAGAAGAAATCAATTCAAAAGCTAGTTTTTGGGGCCGGTACTCTGGCGCAGCGGGTTAAGGCCCTGGCCTGAAGCGCCGGCATCCCATATGTGTGCCAGTTCTAGTCCTGGCTGCTCCATTTTCTTTTCTTTTCTTTTTTTTTTTTTTTTATTTTTTGACAGGCAGAGTGGACAGTGAGAGAGAGAGACAGAGAGAAAGGTCTTCCTTTTTGCCGTTGGTTCACCCTCCAATGGCCGCCGCGGCCAGCGTGCTGCGGCCGGCGCACTGTGCTGATCCGATGGCAGGAGCCAGGAGCCAGGTGCTTTTCCTGGTCTCCCATGGGGTGCAGGGCCCAAGCACCTGGGCCATCCTCCACTGCACTCCCTGGCCACAGCAGAGAGCTGGCCTGGAAGAGGGGCAACCGGGACAGAATCCAGCGCCCCGACCGGGACTAGAACCCGGTGTGCTAGCGCCGCAAGGCGGAGGATTAGCCTAGTGAGCCGCGGCGCCGGCGGCTGCTCCATTTTCAATCCAGCTCTTTGCTATAGCCTGGGATAGCAGTGGAAGATGGCCCAAGTCCTTGGATCCCTGCGCCCATGTGGGAGACTCAGAGGAAGTTCCTGGCTTCTGGCTTTGGATCAGCGCAGCTCCGGCTGTTGCAGCCATCTGGGGAGTGAACCAGTGGATGGAAGACCTCTCTCTCTCTCTCTCTCTCTACCTCTCTCTGTAACTCTGTCTTTCAAATAAATAAAATAAATCTTTTTTTTTTTTAAAGTAACTTGTTCAAAGTTGAGTTGAAATGTCAATGCAGACATCTCAGCTCTGAAACACATCCTTTAAAAAAAGCTATTTCTTTGTAATTTCCCATGACAATACATATTCTTCTTCAACGATGTTTTCAGCATTGATTGAAATATTTTTTAGAAAGATTTATTTATTTATTTCAAAGGCAGAGTAAAGTGGGAGAGTGAGGGACAAAGAGAGAGAGAGAGAGAGAGAGAGAGAGAGAGAGATCTTCCATCCACTGGTTCACTCCTTAAATGTCCACAACAGTGTTGGCTCCTAATTAAAGTATTTTAAAATGTCTTTAATTTTTTTTTTTTTTTTTTGCTAAGACGTGTGTAGTCCAATCATTTGGTACTCTGTTTAGTCTCTGAAAACTGCTAGCTTTTATGTTGTAAACTGCTTGCATAAAGCTTAATGGCAAGAATACTGGTGATGTGAATCTAAATTTTGACTCAGTAATTTCACTACAGCAAACTTACCTTTTTGGATCTCATTTGCATCTTTCTAAAATTCGGATTGTGGGGGTTGATCTGCCTGAAGTTACATATCTGCATAAATCTCTTGGAGAACTTTTAACAGATAAAAGACTTCTACCTGGGGCTGGGGCTGTGGTGTAGCAGATAAAGTCTGCAGTGCCGGCATCCCACATGGGTACCAGTTCAAGTCCCAGCTGCTCCACTTCTGATCTAGCTCGCTGCTGATGGCCTGGGAAAGCAGCAGCAGATGGCCCAAGTCCTTGGGTCCCTGAACCCATGTGGGAGACTTGGAAAAAGCTCCTGGATCCTGGCTTCAAATCAACTGTTGCAGTCATTTGGGGAGTGAACCAGCAGATAGGGAATTCTCTCTCTCTCTCTCTCTCTCTCTCTCTCTCTCTCTCTCTCTGCCTCTCTGTAACTCTGCCTTTCAAATAAATAAACAGTTTTTTTTTTTTAAAAAAAGACTCCTACCTGTTACTTTATGAGCCTTTTTTTTTTTTTTCTGGAGCAGGCATTGTGGTATAGTGGGATAAGCCACTACTTGAGATGCTCATGTCCCATATTTGAGTGCCTGGGATGGAGTCCCCACTTCTCCCTCCAGTCCAGCTTTCTACTAAGGCATCCTGGGAGACAGCAGATGATGGCTCAAGTGCTTAGGTACCTGTTAACCACATGAGAGACCTGGATAGAGTTCTGGGCTCCTGACTTTGGTCTAGCCCCAGCCCTGGCTATTGCTGGTAGTTGGGGAGTGAACTAGGGGATGGAAGATCAATCAATCTCTCTCTCTCTCTCTTTTTCTCTCTCTCTCTCTCTCCTTTCAAGTAGATGAAAATAAATAAATATTGAACCTATTACCTATGTTACACAATTTTCAGGTGCTTTGAAATAATATCTGTTAATCTATTTCATTTACTTTAAAATAATAATACAAGTTAAAGATATTAACACTACGCTTTCGGCTTTTAATTGTGCCTTGATCATTCTCTTTCATAATGATATGCTTTCTTTAGTGGGAGAGATATACATGGAGATACATGGCTAGGTGGCTGATAAGTTGAAATACCACTAGATATGCTAACAGTAATATTGTATAAGTGAATGTCTTCTATCTTATGTGTTAAATCAGAATAAAGATTTTGAGCAGGTGGCTCAAATTATCAAGGTGGGTACTTAGGTGCTGTGATGTAGCAAAGGAAAGTTGTCCCAAAATAGTCATTCCACTGGCCAGTGCTGTAGTGTAGTGGGTTAAGTCACTGCCTACAAGTGCTGGCATCCCATATGGGCACCAGTTCAAGTCCTGGCTGCTCCACTTTTGATACTGCTCTCTGCTATGGCTTGGGAAAGCAGTAGAAGATGGCCCAAGTCCTTGGACCCCTGCACCTGTGTGGGAAACCCCGAAGAAGCTCCTGGCTCCTGGCTTCAGATCAGTCCAGCTCCAGCCTCCAGCCATTGCGGCCATTTGAAAAGTGAACCAGCCAATGGAAGACACCTTTCTCTCTCTGTAACTCAGTCTTTCAAATAAATAAATAAATCTTGAAAATTTAAAAAACAATAATCACCCCCACATTAGTAAAAATTAACATTTACTTCTACTAAAATACAATTTTTTAGAAAGGGTAATGTGCCTGGGAAATCAGTAGAGATGGCCAAATACTTGGGCCTCTGCACCCATGTGGGAGACCTGATGGAGTTCCTGGTTCCTGGTTTCAACCTGGCCCAGATTGGGCCATTGTGGTCATTTTGGGAGTGAACCAGTAGATAGAAGATATCTTTCTCTCTGTCTCTCCCTCCCTCTCTGTCATTGTGCCTTTCAAATAAATAAAATTAATCTTTTTAAAAAATCAATACTGTATAATATGGTTAACCCTGAAAATGTCCATGATATCACAATGGAAGAATGACTCTACTTTCCAAATTTACAAGGGAATTTTTAAAAAGATTTTCATAATATATATTTAATAGAAGCCCATTAAAATGTTACATAATATAGTCAGTAAAATTTTATTGTAGTGTACAAAATATCATACACTTAAAGCCTATGTGTATTTCTGGGATGTTTCTAAGGGTCTGTCTTGATTTCTATTTGCCTCCTGGTGAGATGATAGAGGAAGTCTCCATAAGATCCCGATCCAAGTTCTGCAACAGCTCATCTGCTTCTTGAAGTAAATTGTTTTCTTCCTCCATATCACTGTGAATGTTCACTCCGGAGGCACTGATTATGAGATCTCCATGGACACTGCAAGCGCCTTTTTCATATTGCATTAACTTGTTTCTTGCAATTGTTAAAAGTCTCTTATATTCGATTAGCTCTTTCTCTAATTCAACATTTTTCTTCTTTTGTTCATCCAAATTATATTCCAACTCAGTAAGTTTCTTTAGCTGTGCCTTTTCTTCCTTAACGGAGATTGGTTGTTTTCATTCCCATCAAGCTTTTCTTCTTCTGCCTCAAATTTTGTGACTAAGTCATCATGTTTGAGAGAAGGCACATGTCCAAATTCAGACCCCATGCTTTTAGAATTATTAGTGTTGTTGCTATCATCTAGTGGCTCCTTGAACACATCTGGTTGTGATTTTGTTTTCTTATAAGTGTCTGGATTATACTTTTCAAGCATTTTGTATCTGTGTTCATCTTCATAATCCAGAATTAGCTGGCGATTAGCTAGATTGAATGTAACAAGAGCAAGCTTTTCTGCAGGCCATCCATACGTGTTTAAACAAGAGGCATCAATTCCTTTTTCTAGAAGAAGCCTTACTATCCTAGATCTATATTGTGCGGCCAGCATGAGAGCCATCCGTTTAATCTTATCAACAACATGAATATTGGCTCCTTTATTAAAAATTCTGCTATTTCCTCACCATTTTCATATATTGCAAGTAATAGTGGTGTGAAGCCATCCTTGTTCCTCACTTCAACATTGGTACTGTGTAAGAGTAATTATTTTGCTATTCCAGCATTCTCACAGTAGGCTGCATAGTGGAGGGCTGTGTTGCCGTTGTCATCTATAACATTTGCACCAGCCCCGTGATCGAGTAGAATTCTTGCACTCTGAACAGCCTTCATCAGAGGTGTCATGTTGTCATCGTCAGGGACATTGATCACGCATTTTCTCTCAAGAAGCAGCGTCACCACTTCTGAATGACCGTCGGCGCATGCCAAGTGCAGGGCAGTCCTATTCTTCCTGTCGCGGTCATTCACGCTGCTTTTCTTCAGCAAGAGGAGGTGCTGGACCCTGGCTACGTCCCCCTTGCTGGCGGCCTTGTGGAGCTTCCGGAGGTCCTTGCCTCGGATGCGGTAGCCGAATTGGGCCTCAATCCCATTCTCGCACCTGACGGAGGACTCCTTTGAAGGCCACCAATCCTCATCCTCGAGGCGACTAGCGCTTCTGGAGCACAAAAACACACCAAGCAACTGCTGGGACACCACGGTGCCACAGCGCGGCTCCGCGGTCTGCAGTCTCTCAGCTCGGAATGTACAGCCAGAGCCAAGCAATGCGGCTGTACACATTCCGTGGTGTTCGCCTCAGGGGACTAATTTTTAAATTTATCCATCTATGAGAGCCACAGAAAAAGCTCACTCTCTTTCATGGGTTCACTCACCGAATGCTCTCAACAGCCAAGGCGAGGCCAGGCCAAAGCTGGCAGCTAGGAACTCAACCCAGGTCTCCCAGAGGCAAGGACTCAAGCAACTAGACCCATCACCTATAGTATTCCAAGGTGCACATTAGCAGGAATCTGGAATCAGAAGTGGAGCTGGGATTCCAGCCCAGGCACGCTAATGTGGGATTTAGGCCTCTCAAGTAGTGTTTTAACCACCGTGCCAAATGTCCACCCCGGACTATTTCTTACTAATTTGCACAACTCAAAACTCTGGTTTCCTCAAAGTTTTATGGAAAATTTTCCATTTCAAAGCAATTATTGTCAAACACCAAATTATGATATCAAATAAAGATATTTTTGTCTTACTTTGTTTTTATTTCCCACTAGAAATAAAACCTAGGCTACTGCCTGTCCTAACTTTAAAAAAAAATCTGATGAGAGTTGGGTAATATGGTTAAAATGGAGGATCTGCAAAGTTTCTTCTTTTCTTTTTTTTGGGGGGAAATCTATTTAAATTAGTTTATTCCTGCCAGATGGCAGTAATTTGGGGTAAGTCACTTAACCTTGGCAGACTCCAGTTTCCTTAAACAATAATACAGTAGCTTAACATGAAATTTAGATCCATGAGATCTCTTCTGAATCGAATCTTCTTACTTAATTGAAGCTAATAATTCCAGTCACATCCAGAACCAAAATATTCTCTATCTACATTGGTTTAAAAACTTTCACAGCAAAGTTAACAAGATGAAACATGACTATTATTTGGCATAGTATTTCCTCATGAATGTCCTAGCTGGCTACTCTCCACAGATTTTACTGTTTCTCTACTTTTGTTTCATGTAAATTGTATTTCATCAAAGTGTGTTATAAATATATTAGATGTTACAGAGTGAAAATGTTATGGGAAAACGTTGGTTTAGGATGGAATGTACTAAAAGAGCATTAATGAATATTTTCTAAATGTTTTCCAGTAAACGTGCATGTTTACCATAAGAAAGAAAAAATTAATTCTTTCTAAGTTTATAGATCAGATGAAGCCAGTTTTGTTGTATTCCTGTCTGGTCTGTGTACTTCTAGTTCTGGGTATAAGGTCAAATGCTAGTTTTCATGACTAATTTTAAAGATTATTGATTAATATCCAATTACAAGAGATCAATTTAAAATTGCTTTTTGGGTTGGTGATAGAATTTGGCCTCTAGATAGGAGTGGTCATTTACAACCCTTTGATCACCATAGGTTACTCGGAAGGTAATGACCATGGGGAGATAAGTGCCATGGTGAAACCTAACTGACAGCCAATTTATAAGAAATCGGTCCAGAGAGATGAGCCATCATTGCCGGGTTTCAGTTAAAGTGTATTAAGCAATCAGGAGTCTAATCAGTCATATTGATATGTACAAATATTAAAGCACCTGCTGATTATGTAGTCATGCTTGGCAGAGATGAAGGGGCAGGACTTTCTTGTTCTGCGCAAATTTAGAGAGAAGTTGTAATGTAGCAGAAAGAGCTGACTTGGCTGGGAGGCCTGAGTTCCAGCCCCACGCTTTCATTTCCTACTTCTGTATTTTCTCCCATGATGGTACTTTCTTGTCTGTAGGATCAGGATAATATTGTGTGACCCTCTGAGTTACAAAACTGAAGAAAGCTCTTTGAAAGTATAAAATAACAATTTATAAGGTATTATAATGTGGGCAATGAAAATTTAGGTTATAACATTGAAAAAATATGCTGCTCTATTTTTTTTTTTACCTTTTTGGTGCACTTTTCTAGGTGAATGTACCTCTTAGGAGCAATTGTCTGGGAGTGTCTGGGATAAGCTTGGGCGGCACAGACAGACTGTGCTCCCTGAAAGACACAGAGCAGCTCAACCAGCACGTCCAGAGTATGAAGCATGAAGTACATTTATTCTGCAAAAATGATAAGTAAATATAAGAAAAGAAAAAAGAACTGTCAAGGATTCCATTTTTTAATAAACACAACAAAATCAAAGAAAACTAAAATCATTCAGAGTAACATACGCCATCGTTTTTCACAGATCTTACAGCACTTTGAGAAAGACAGTTCAATGTAGAGTTGTTCAGACCTTTTAACTATATATGGTAATTTTAAAAAGTGATGTCACTGAGTAAAAATAAAACCAACAACAGAAATTGGAACAAAAAATACCGGACATAAAGGGATTTGAGTCTTTGAGTTTGAACTGAAAATGAGAGAATGGGAAGGTGCCAACTTATTCCAGAGGATTGCTCGTCCTCATCAAGACTTCTCAATCTCTTGGGCATCTTTCAATTGTCAGCACTCACTTTTTTTTTTAATTTATTTTGTTTATTTGAAAGAGTTACAGAGAGAGGCAGAGACAGAGAGAGAGGTCTTCCATCTGCTGGTTCACTCCCGAGATGGCCACAACAGCTGCAGTTGAGCCGAAGCAGCAGCAGGAGCTTCTTCTGGGTCTCCCATACAGGTGCAAGCACCCAAGGGCTTGGGCCATCTTCTATTGCTTTCCCAGGCCGTAGCAGAGAGCTGGATTGGAAGAGGAGCAGCTGGGACTAGAACCAATGCCCTTATGGGATGCCGGTGCTTCAGGCCAGGGCTTTAACCCGCTGTGCCACAGTGCCGGCTCTTAGCACTCAATTTCAAAGAGTAGCATAACCCTGGACCATGGAGCTTATCAAGATTTCAAAGAGTTCTGAAAATCCTATTTAAAAAACAAAATAACATTGTCTTTGTACAGAAAGTGTCAAGTATTTATACACAATATAATGGCTAGATTTAGGAAGAAGACAGCCAGGTATTTTAAGATTTGCCTTCTATTTATTCTATGTAGAGAAGGAACACAAGCAATGTTTTACTTGTCATCTTGCCTCAACGTAATTACTTATAAGATCACACAGGCAAAATATTTACTTTATTTTTTTAAAAATATATATTTATTGATTTATTTGAAAGGCAGAGTTACAGTGAGGCAGAGGCAGAGGCAGAGAGAGAGAAGTCTTCCATCTGCTGGTTCACTCTCCAAGTGGCTGCAACAGCCAGAGCTGAGCTAATCCGAAGCCAGAAGCCAGGAGTTTCTTCCTTCTGGGTCTCCCACACAGGTGCAGGAGTCCAAGGACTTGGGCCATTTTCTACTGCTTTCCCAGGCCATCAACAGGTAACTGGATGGGAAGTGGAGCAGCCAGGACTCGAACCGGCACCCACATGGCATGCCTGCACCGCAGGTGGCAGCTTTACCGGCTATGCCACAGCGCCAGCCCCAAAATATTTACTTTAAAGATAGAATATTGTAGCTGAGAACTTGCACTTGGCTGAAAATAAGAAAAGCTCTTCTATTGCACATGACCTCACGATTCAAGGACATCACATTTTTCCTCTCAAGATGTGTTGATGTTCTTCAAAACTGCAACTTTGAACAGGTTAAAAAAAAACCTCTATCATTGCAAATTCATATTTTAAGTTGACACATAAAACTGTAAACTGGGCCAGCGCCGCGGCTCAATAGGCTAATCCTCCGCCTTGCGGCACCAGGACACCGGGTTCTAGTCCCGGTCGGGGCACCGGATTCTGTCCCGGTTGCCCCTCTTCCAGGCCAGCTCTCTGCTGTGGCCAGGAAGTGCAGTGGAGGATGGCCCAAGTCCTTGGGCCCTGCACCCCATGGGAGACCAGGAGAAGCACCTGGCTCCTGCCATCGGATCAGCGCGGTGTGCCGGCCGAAGCGCGGCGGCCATTGGAGGGTGAACCAACAGCAAAGGAAGACCTTTCTCTCTGTCTCTCTCTCTCACTGTCCACTCTGCCTGTAAAAACAAACAAACAAACAAACAAACAAACAAAAAAACCTGTAAACCCCTATAGGGCAACATGTGATGTTTTGATGCCTGTATACATTAATCAGCTTCCAAATCAGGATATGGCTCTCTTCACATGCTTCTTTTTGGTAAAAACAATCAAAATCCTTTTGTCTAGCTTTCTTGAAACATATAGTACATTATTCTATACAGTCCCTCATTGTGAAATAGGCACTGGAACTTATTTCTCCTAACTAAAACTTAGTATCTGTGAAAATTTGTTTTTAAGAAAGTATCTTTTAAATATAATGTTTTAAATTTGTTTTTCCCCTTTTTTCCCACTTCACTTCCTTTCCCCTTCCTTCCATTGTTATCTTTACTTGGATTTTTTTTACTCCCTTATGCCATGAACAGCGAGTGGACCACGGATTCCTTAGTTGATTAATTCATCCAACTTGCCTCTTGGCCTAAGGCAAGGCTGATAATGTTTCTGACTGTAGCTGTTAATAACCTAGAATGCCAGAAGATGGCGGTGTTGCCCATAAAAGCAGAGCACTTTGCTGTTTTCCTAGGTTGTCTGAACTACCTGAAGCCCTTGTTTCTGAAATCCATACAGATCTCGACATTTTTTTTAAGATTATATATTTATTTGAAAGAATGACAGTGAGAGACATATGTCTTTGATCTGCTGGTTCACTCTCTAAATGGCTAAAGCGATCCAGACTGGTCCAGGCCTAGGCCAGCAGTCAGGAACTCCATCCTGGTGTTGCAGGTGGGTAGCAGGGGCCCAGTGCAACAAAGAGCTGGATTGGAAGCAGAGCAGCCAGAACTCTGATGTGGGATGTTAACACCAGGCCCCAGGCTCTCAACTTTAAAGACAGTCGATTTGGGAATGTTTGACCATGTTTTAAATCAAGAAGATATGTATGTATATACAAATACAGTTTCACATAGCAATTAAAGACACTTGCCTCTCTGGCCTTCGGCACACAGTGATACTGCACTTTTTCACAAGTGGGATTATGCCCCCACAAGTAAGTGATGCGACTTTAAAGAGTTGTTTGTTACCTTTTGTAGTGAAATTATAATAAGGTACCAGGTAGCAGGACGCTCTCTTCTCCTGCCTCCATTGGTCCTTTCGCTTTTCCCCATTCCTGCCCGTATGGTGGTTATCTTAAGCATTTAACAACAGATTATTGTAATTTCTACTGCATACTGCAGGACACAATAGATGAAAGTGTGATTCAATATCTAATGCTGCACACAAAACTCTGCCCTGAAAGGTCTGTCACTACTTAGTGTAAGTTTCTTGGTACTTTCAGCTGGAGGTTTTCCACACAGGAATAGCCTCACTCAGAGGACACTGTTACCAATCAAACTCATTTAACAGTGGGGTGATTGTTCTATTTAAGAATTACCTATTTTTACTGCATGGTTTAATGGGCTCATTGAGGTCCCCCAAAAGTATGTCTTTGTTGCATTCTATGGCTCAACTCCCTCAGTCCAATTCTGTCAGTGCGATATCAGTTAAACACCGAATGAGCAGCTGAGCTAACTGGGCTACCACGAACGCGGTTACGGGGACACGTGATCTTAGTGAGAGGTTGCACAAATGTTACAAATGAATCCGAAACGACGCGGAAACCGACGGCTGCAAGCCCAGATCCTGATTTAGGCTTTTGGGTGAAGTCAGTTAGCAAAACCTGGAAAGATCTCCGCCCTCCCTGAACTCTGGAGAGATTCAGTACACCAGAAACCTCACCATAGCAGAGCAGGGCACGAGGAACCACAGCGCCGGTGGTCCAGGCTGCGAGCCGAGAGGAGCCTCGGCGCCCAGGGGCCAGCGCACACGTCCTGGGCAGCCAGAGGCGAGGGGTTCTGCAGACCTGAACTGAGGCCGGGTTCAAGCTCCTAATGAGATCGTCGGGAAACCAGTCCCGGGCATGGACAGCGACTTCCCCGCTCCGCAGGGTGGCGACCCGCTGGACACGCTCAGGGCCCCAGCACAGCCGGCGGGGCGGAGTCCCCGACCGTGGGAACCCTCCTGACCGCGCGCCCCGCCCCGCCCCCCGCAGCGGCTCCCCCCACGCAGCCCCCGACTCCTCGTCCTCTCCGGACCACGCGCCACGCCTCCGGCGGCCCCTGACCCCGCGCCACGCGCCCCCCGGCCGCGCCCCCTCCCCGGCCCCCCACCCCTACCGAGCGCCCTCTCCGGACCGTGCGGCTGCCCCGAGGGCTGGGCGCGGGGCGGGGCGAGGCGAGGCGGGGCGGGGCGGGCGGACGCCATCGCGTAGCTACCGGCCGGCGGCGGCCTGGTCAAGACATCCGCGGCGTCCTCGCCGCCCTCCGCTCGCCTACGCCGCCCGGGCCTTCGCCTCGGTCCCCGGGGCGGCGCGCGCGGCCGGGTTGGGCGGCGGCAGCGGCGGCGGCTCGGGGCATGAGGAGGCGGCGTCGCGCGGAAACGATGCTGTGGAGCTGAGGAGACGCGGACACACGGCGCGGCGGCCAAGCGCAGCGCCTATCCGCGGGATGGCTCAGGCGGCCGGCCCGGCAGGCGGCGGGGAGCCGAGGGCCGACCCGGCGAGCGGCGAGGGGCCGCCGGAGGCCGGCGCGGCCGGGGGCACGGAGGACGCCCTGAGCCTGGAAGAGATCCTGAGGCTCTACAACCAGCCCATCAACGAGGAGCAGGCGTGGGCCGTGTGCTACCAGTGCTGCGGCTCCCTGCGCGCCGCGGCCGCCCGCCGCCGCCAGCCCCGCCGCCGCGTGCGCTCGGCCGAGCAGATCCGCATCTGGAGGGACGGCGCCGTCACCCTGGCGCCCGCCGCCGGCGACGAGGGAGAGCCGCCCCCCACTGCGGGTGAGCCCACCGGGCCCCTTCCACTCGCAATCCTCGGGCCCTCTCTTTTTTGCAGACTCTGAGCTCAGTCCTTTCGTCCCCGCGATCCTCCCCCTCCTACGGTGCGCCGTGGGCAGGACCCGGGCCTGGGGACGTGGGGAGGGCGGAGTGGATGCTGCGAGCAGGCAGAGCTCCGCGTCCGTCAGAGTCTCGGGCGGGGGCGGATGGCTGCACAAAGAGCTGGGAGGGGGCCTGGGGCGAGCCTGGGGTCGGCGCGGGCCTGCGCCCCCCACGGCAGGCGGTGGGTCCCACCGGCTGCTGCGCGGGCTTGTTCGGGGGAACGATGCGGGGCTGCGTGCTTTCCGGAGAAGCTGTGTGCGTAGTTCGTGCCTGGGCCGTGCGCTTGGGGCTGTGCCCGCCGTGTGCTGAGGGGCTGTGAAGTGTTCACGTGAGAGCTTGTCAAGGAGTCTTAGAAATCGCATCTTTAGGAAGGAATAACCAGCTAGTATTTTAAATCTGACACAATGCCTTCGGTTTGGCAGTGTGAAGAACTCTAAAGCCCTGAGAATTCTGGTATTTTTTGGAGAAAGGGGGAAATGGACTAAATAATGTTTAACTTGAGGTTCGAAAATATCACTTACGTATATGTTAACTTGTGTGTGTGTGTGTGTGTGTGATGGAAAGCAATCTTGTAAAAAATGGACAGGATGTTGAGTCGGAGAAAATGGGATTTCGTTCTGTCTGCCTAATGTAAATTCTGCCGGATAATCTCCTGAAGAGTGACATGCTCTAGCCAGGGGTTTACCCGAGTGCTCCTTGAAGAGCAGAAGACTGATAATAGGTTTCTCTTCTCCGTCTGTATTTAATTCCGTCTTTTGAGAGGCAAGTCTATTAAAAACACAGGCAAACAATCCACCTTCACTTTTAGAAAGTTGATGGAAGTGTCAAAATGCTTAAGGTGAAAGATGTAATTCAGAACTACTGAGATCGCATTTAATGAAAATTCTTATCTAAATTGATTAAACATTTTAGACTGTAGTTACCAGTTCTTCCAGTTCCCATGAAACATTTATGTGCTTCTCCTTTTTTATATAAGGTAAACAAATTTTTAGTGGCCAGTAAATAACATTTTTATTTACAACTAGCCTTTTTATGATTTTTGGGGGGAAATTCTTTTTTAAAATAGTTTTGTTGAGTAAATGATGTGCTTATTGCAGAAATTCTGAGAGAAAGAGAAAGAGATCTTCATCCGCTTCCATCCCCAAATGGCTCATCCCAGTCTCCCACATAGGTTCAGGGGCCCGAGCACTTGGACCATCTTCCACTGCTTTCCCAGGCCACAGCAGAGAGCTGGATCAGAAGGGGAACAGCTGCAACTCCAATCAGCGCGCCTGTATGCGATGCTGGTGTTGCAAGCGTAGCTTAACCAGCTATGCCACAAAGCCGGACCCTGCTGATTGCTTTTAGACTTGGACTTTATATTAGCGGGAAATAATTGCCATTGTAATTTATTAACTTCGTATTAAGATGGCACCAAAAGATGTATCCCAGGCTGTTCTGTGGGATTTAGTTGTCAAAGGGAAAAATTGGTTGTATTCAGCCTGCTTTTGGAAGCAGCATGGTTGCAGTAATTTCTGAAGAGGGCAGACAGCAAACTCCATTCCACGTTGTTTCTTGAACTTCATCCCAGTAGAGGGTAGTTTAGTTGTTAAAGACTGATTGACTTTTTTTTTTAATTAGAAGCTTGTATTGAAATGAAATTAGTATGAGTGATAGCATTCTGTCCTCAGTCTAATACACTGTAGTTACGGAGCGATAGCAGAGTTGTTTTCCAGAATCAATAGTAGAGTTGTAATCCACTCTCTCCTCCTTCGTTCTCCTCATGACCTCTGCTACCAGATGTGAAGAGGGCCTAATCAAAGTTGATGATATGGATAGTCTTGAGCTTTACAATATTGCTTATGGTAGTTTATTTCCTTTAGGATTGAAGGGTAGTTGTAGAACTATGGAAGATACAATGTTTTGTGGGTCATTGACTTTTTTTTTTAAAGATTTATTTATTTATTTGAAAGTCGGAGTTACACAGAGAGGAGAGGCAGAGAGAGAGAGAGACAGAGAGGTCTTCCATCCACTGGTTCACTCCCTAATTGGCTGCAGCTGCTGGAGCTGTGCTGATCCGAAGCCAGGAGCTTCTTCCAGGTCTCCCATGTGGGTGCAGGGGCCCAAGGACTTGGACCATCTTGTACTGCTTTCCCAGGCCATAGCAGAGAGCTGGATGGGAAGTGGAGCAGCCGGGACTTGAACTGACACCCATATGGGATGCCGGTGCTTCAGGCCAGGGCATTAACCCTCTGCGCCACAGCGCTGGCCCCTACTCTTAATTCTTTAAGAATGATGAATAATTTGGTATTGTGCATACTTGTATAAATTCTAAGAAAAAGTTGTATTCATAATATTTTCATTGTAAGCATTTTTTCATTGTAAGGTATGTGGCATGATTATATGTGTGTATATATATAGCAGCTTTTATAATTTGACTTGTTTTCCATTGATTTATTTTCTCAGTGCAGGTTTAGGGAAGTTCAGATAACTTGCTCAAAATCATACTGGTAACCCTAAATCAAATCCAGGTTTCCTTAAACCTTTAGGCCTTAAAGTATTGTGAAATGGGCCGGCGCCATGGCTCACTAGGCTAATCCTCCGCCTTGCGGCACCAGGACACCGGGTTCTAGTCCCGGTCGGGGCGCCGGATTCTGTCCCGGTTGCCCCTCTTCCAGGCCAGCTCTCTGCTGTGGCCAGGGAGTGCAGTGGAGGATGGCCCAAGTCCTTGGGCCCTGCACCCCATGGGAGACCAGGATAAGTACCTGGCTCCTGCCATCGGATCAGCACGGTACGCCAGCCATGGCGGCCATTGGAGGGTGAACCAACGGGAAAAGGAAGACCTTCCTCTCTCTCTCTCTCTCTCTCACTGTCCACTCTTCCTGTCCAAAAAAAAAAAAAAAAAAGTATTGTGAAATGAAACACATTTGGTTTGACTTTATATAATGATTCCTCCCCTTGATAACTGAGTAACCTTGAGGATTTGATCTCCCTGAGTTTAGCCTTTTCCTACGTAAGATCAAAAGATATCATTTTTCAGGGCTGGCGCTGTGGCATAGTGGGTAAAGCCACTATCTGCAGTGCTGGCATCCCATATAGGCACCGGTTCAAGTCCCAGCTGCTCCACTTCCGATCCAGCTCTCTGCTGTGGCCTGGGAAAGCATTAGAAGATGGCCCAAGTCCTTGGGACCCTGCACCTGCGTGGGAGACCGGGAAGAAGCTCCTGGCTCCTGCCTTCGGATTGGCTCATCTCTGGCCATTGTGGCCAGCTGGGGAGTGAGCCAGTGGATGAAGACCCCCACCCCCCCTCCCTCTCTCTTATAATTCTTTCAAATAAATAAATATTTTTAAAAATGTATCATTTTTCTCATGGGGCAGAGGTTTAAGTGAGGTAATACATGTAAAATGATGAAAAGACTACTTCTCTTCCTCTTCTGGTTCTGTGTAGCTTGCTTTTGTTAAAGGTTTATTTATTTATTTGAAAGGTAGAGAGAGAGAGAGAAGGGGATAGTATCTTCCATTTGCTGGCTCACTGCCCAAAATGGCGACAGTAGCCAGGGCTGGGCCAGGCTGAAGCCAGTAGCCTGGAACTCTGGATCTCCTGGGTGAGTGCAGGGACCCAAACACTTGGGCTGTCTTCTGCTGCTGCTTTCCCAGTGCACTAGCATGGAGCTGATTGGTCAGTGGAATAGCTGGGACTAAATCAGTGCTCACATGGGATGCCAGTCATAGGCCGTGGCTTAACCCACTGTGCTACAATGCTGGTCCTGGTCCTGTGTTGTTTTCATGTCATCATAGTGCCTCCAAACTAGCTATTCTTTATTTTCACTTAGAATTGGGACAGATGTCTTGTTATCAGGGTTTCTCAGTGTCAGCCGTGTTGACGTTTTTGGCTGGATAATTCTCTGTTGTGGCTCTGTCCTGTGCAGCATCTTGGCTCTGACCTGGATGCTAATAAACTCCTCCCTCTTAGTTGTGACCATAAAGAAGTTGCTGGGGGTAAGTGTTGTGGTGAATAGCTGTGACACTGACATCCTGTATCAGAGTGCTGGTTCCAGTCCTTGCTGTTCCGTTAACCTTCCAGCTCCTTGCTAATGTGCCTGGTAAAAAAGCAGAGGATGGCCCAGATGCTTGGGCTACTGCCACCCACATGGGAGACCTGGATGGAATTCCAGGCTGCTGGCTTCAGCCTGGATCAGGCTCAGTCTTTGAGGACATTTGGGGAGTGAACCAGTGGATGGAGTATCTCTTTTTTTTCTCTTTCCCCTATTCCCCTCTCTTTCAAATAAATAAATCTTTAACAAAAAGAAGTTGGCAGATGTTCTCTCAGGCAGGGGGGCAGAATTGTTTGTCTTGCATGCCACTGGTCTAGCCCATGATGGGTGGTGGTGCCCAGAGTTGTGCGCAGTGTGGAGAAATGGATCCTAGCCATAATCCTTAAGTGAGTGGATCCCTCTGCTGTCTCTGAATGAGTGGTGTTGGTTGTTGCCACTATCAGCAGTGTTACTCCATAAGACAAAAAGAGTACCTCAGCTGCTGTACTGACTTGTTTTGGGCCTGGTTGTAGTGGTATTTGATTTTAGTTCTTGTTTATTTAAACATTTTAAAAATTTATTTATTTGAAAGGTAAGGGGAGAGATGAACAGATAGAGAGCTCTCCTGTCTGCTGGTTCATTCTCTTGAATGGCCACAGCAGCTGGGCAAGCCAGGAGCTGAGAACTCAATCTAGGTTTCCCTCATGGGAGACAGACATTCAACTACCTGCGTTATCACTTCTGCTTCCCAGGGTGCACATTAGCAGGAGCAAAGCCTGCACTCTAACCTAGGCACTCTGATATGGGATATGGTTTAACCACTGTGCCAAAGGCCTGGTCCCTCTTGATTACACTTTTTGCTTATTTATTTAAGATTTATTTTTTCAT